ATTAAGCTGTTTAAGACTGCAGATCTCTTGCTTTCCCATTGCCAGGTATTTCCCACAAAGAGCTGGTAGATGTAGCTAGGCAACACTTCAGTGGAGTGCCTTTTACATACAAAGAGGATGCAGTGCCTATCCTGCCGCGCTGTCGCTTCACAGGGAGTGAGGTAAAGTTGTTCTTGTCCCAAACAAAACAAACAGCTGTTGCCAAACTGTTGAATGAATGTCAAACCAGTTACAGCTGCTTCTGCGAGGAAAAATCTGTTTGTATATCTCAGAGAAGCTGATGATGCAGTGTCTTGGTAGTGCTCCCATGTTCTGTTCTTGGGGCTTATTGCCACAATTTGTTGGGTTTTATATAGGACCCAAATCCATTAGGAATGTGAGGCTGTTTCTCACATCATCCGCCAAAAAAACTCGTATCAGAGCAGCTGGTTTGTGCTTAGTAGTGCCTGAGACCATTTCACTAAGATAATACCAAGTCCCCGGTTTGTCAGCCTGGCATTGCAGACAAAGCCACCGCGCTCATGCAGTTCTGCTCCGTTCCTTGATGGTTTTCTAGATCCGTGCCAGAGATGATGCTCTGCCCGTTGCCCATATTGCTCTTGCCGTGGAGGGGCCAGGATGGGCTGATCCAGACAACGTTGTCCTCAATGTGGCTAATGCTATCATGGGACGCTACGACCGCACTTTTGGAGGTGGTAAGGTAAGAGGCTTGTGAGTGTGACAGGGAGAGCGTGAAGCCTGTTAATGTGAACTATTATGGAGACCCTGGCTGAATGTGCTTTATGGGAGGTTGTGACGTTTAGCTTAGGACTGTGAAGTGGTTAGGAGTCTGGAAAGTAGCATAGAAGTGTAATTGAGGCTAATACAGGACCATTCTTGAGAAGTGATGCTGGGAGATGAACTGAGCCATCTCTGCTAAGTTGGAAGAGGTTTAGCTGATGAACTCTCAGCAGCTTGTTCCTACCCTCACAAACTAACCACTTGGTGAGGGCAGCAGTGGAAGGCAGGACAGAGTGGTCTGTAGTCTCATGTGGCAAGCTTGCTTTACAACTGCAAAGCAAGGGGAACTTCTTTAAACCCCCAGCATCGCATCCATTCTCATCCAGTATCTGCCTGGCCTGCATAGCTGTGCTAACCCCTGCTACTGGGAGACCTTGCACTTCCCATTTTCTCCCACTCCTACGGTGGTATGCATACCAGTTCCTCGTCTGTGGCTGGGAAAGGAAATGGTTTTGCTGGATGGACTCTTAGGCCATTGTCTGTGGCTTTTCCACCAATGAATCTCATCTGTTGACCACATGAAGGGTCTAAGTTAAGCTCTCCTTTGGCAAAGTGTTCCGCTCTGTCTTGTCTGTGGTCTTTGTGAATACAGCTCAGTTGGAAAGAATTTGAGCTGTTAGGCAGCTGTAAGACTGAAATGGCTGTGGTATCTCCTTATTTACAGAATCAGTCCAGCAGGCTGGCGACGCTTGCTGTGGAGCATAATCTCTGCCACAGTTTCCAGACTTTCAACACCTCTTACTCTGATACCGGCCTCTTCGGTTTCCATTTTGTTTCCGATCCTCTGTCCATAGATGACATGCTGTTTTGTGCTCAGGGGGAATGGTAAGTACGACTTCGGCAAAGAGATCTGAACCCCTTGTGGGAGACTGAGCAGGTGGGGGGACGTATTAGGTCTTCAGAGAACTGTGTCTATGAACTTCTTGAGAACTCACATTCTGGTTAAGTGATCCTGTAAGTGGTTTCAGTAAATGTCTTGGGATGTGGCTTTTGAGGAGCTGTTTTAATCCCTTAGGGCTCTTTAGGTCTTTTGTTCATGCTTCCAAGTATTAGTACTGAGGTTTTGGGTTTTTATGTACAAGTGAGATCGTTCCTTAGAGACAAGGCTTTCCCAGGTGCCTGAGAGATGTATCTCCATCGTCTTGTGAAGCTTGTGCAAAACAGGCAGAGTTACTGCCTTTCAGACTGTTGTGCTGTGGCTGATGAATGCCCTGCTGCTGGAGTTGTGCCAGCGTTTGGGGGCCTTCTGTCTGTCCTGTTGTATGTGGTATGCCCCAGTAATGGTTTGAGGCTACATCTGAGATGCAGAGCTGAGCCGTGCTGTGTATAGAGCAGGTGGAGTTAGCCCTTGCCCCAGAGACGTTGCAGTTGGCAGGGCCGAAAGGGATTTCACAGCTGGAGTCCAAACAGACTCTGTAGAACTGTCTTGTTCTGTCAGCATCAGTTTCCATAGCAGCTTGCCATGCGTGGGAATAGCCGACAGGCCTGCCTTCTCTTGTGATAGCGAACCGCAGACCGCTTGCCGCTCTGCCTGATGGGCAGGCTAGAGCCGGCACCAGGGCTGCTTAGACCTTTATGAGTGTAACTCAGCATGTAACCTACTGGCTGATGTCCCCTGCCTGCAAGCTTGAGCTCTTTCACCTCCTGCTGTTCAGTGCTCCCCAGTTCTTAGCTGGTCTGCGGTGATCAAGAATGAATATCAAGCCTGCAAGACAAGTGACGTTGATAATAGCTTGTTTCTGCAGAGGCTTGGGAAACAGAGGAATTCACTTTGTCTGAGCAGACAAACATCTTTAAGAGCTTTAGTGGTCTTTCCATCTCCTCTCCAGGATGCGTCTGTGTACTAGTACCACAGAGTCAGAGGTGAAGAGAGCCAAGAACAATCTCCGAAATGCCATGGTGGCTCAACTGGACGGTATGTTCTGGTTTATGGATTGACTACTGCACAGCTTTCAGAGGATTTTCACTTATGTCTCTCCTGGGGAGCAGGAGCTCTGCTACACATCGCAGTACTGCTGGCATGCACCGGGCAAAACTTCCTTTTCCCCACTCTGCGTTCCTCCTGCCGTGTTGCCAAAGCAACTGACCCAAGCCTGCTGTGCTCCAGGCTAGCTCTGACTCTGTAAACTTCTAGTCACTCTGTTGCTGAGAGTGAATAACATGCTGCCTGGTGAAGTTAGAACTGAGACCCTCAAACTGGTCTGCCTTGGCTGTAACACTTTGGAGACTGGTGAAGCAATCTTTCTATTGCTTAACTCCTGCTGGAGCTGCTTAGAGTGATAATTACAACTGGTGCTTCATTAGAAGCTGTTTAACAGCTAGAGTTGTTTCTGTCTGCTTTGACTGATGATCAGGCTGTGCAATTCTGGAAGGCTTTCTGCTGTGCTGACCATGTGATATCTTCAACATCTAGGTACTACCCCAGTATGTGAGAATATTGGAAGCCATCTCTTAAACTACGGACGCCGTATTCCGCTGGAGGAATGGGATGCCAGGATTGCTGTAGGTATCTGTTTGTTTTGGTTGGGGTACCTGAGCATGGTTGATGTCAGTGTTTTCTGGCCCTAGTCTGCCGTAGTAACGTGAGATTTACTTATCCCTTAGTCAATTTGCTTGGAGTCCAGGTGGTCAGCTCACTGGCACATACACAAATATGTCTGAATCTCTGGCACAGACTCAGCGTGTCCCATGTCCTGTGGCTGGATTCAGTCCATCCCAGAAGGAAGGCATGTGCCTGTGTTAAGCAGCACAACTTGAAATTCCTTTAACAGTTTCCCTAGAGGTGGCCATCCCTTGGAAGGCTTCAGATTTTGGATTGCCATGTCTTCTGTACCCTCGGAAGAACGCGCTGTGTAGAACATTAGCCATCCTCACAGACAGGAGCTGTGCGATTGGTGCAGATGGCTCCCAAGGGTCTGACTGTCTTTTTAATTATCTTGATCTTCAGCCACTGGCAACAGTAACTTCCAACTTTGAGAAATGCAGGTCTGCTAGAAGGGTTATTAATTGCTTGTTTGATATTTGTTAGGCCGTTGATGCAAGAATGGTGAGAGAGGTCTGCAGTAAATATATTTATGACAAATGTCCGGCAATTGCAGCAGTTGGTAAGTAGTACATGGCAATTAGTACACAGTAGCTCAAAAATCAGGAAGGGGTCAAGAGCTGAGTAGAAGTGAGTTGCAGGCACTTTTCAGGTGTCTGTTCTGGCCTCCTGGCCACTCTGCTTGTTTGTTGGTATCCTCCTACTTCTGCACATCAGATGTGCCAAGACACATTTGCCAGGAGATCAAACCTGCCGGTGATGGAGATGCAGCAGCAGCGAGCTGCTGGCTGTCCTCCCATCTCTCTACTTGCTGTGGAGCCGTGGCTAAGATTGGGAGTCCCATAGCTGGGTGCGGGCCCAGCAGCGTCTGCCGAATGTCCTTACCCTGGGGTCATGGTGATTTATGTAAGGGAAGTGAAGAGATCTGATTTTCTTGCGCTGCTCTGGCATGCCTGTCTGGCCAAGGACAAATTCCTCTCGCAAAACCTGCCTGAGCAGCTCAGCTCCGCTGTGCTGCCTCCTTCCTGTGTGTTGTGGATTCCCCTCCGCCGTGCAGCTGTTTCCTCTGGCCTTCAAAGCAGAGCAGCTTGGAAAGGGAAGATGGTTTTTGATCAGGAGGTTGGAATGAACTAGCCACAATCTCCATGACTTGGTGGCTCCCTGTATTTCATACCTGTATGTGGAGCTGTACTGAGCATTGTGCAGCAGTGCAAGGAAACAACTTGTTCTGAGGAACCAAGTAAAGGTTTCCCTGTCAGGAGATGGTATCTGCTGGTTTTCCTGATGCAGGTTTGAGCTGTAGTTGCCTGGTTTTGTGCATAGCTGCGCTGGGTTGTGGGCACAATCTGCTCTGCCACCGTCTGCTTTAAGACCATGGGAAACTGTGCAGGGATTTTAACTACGTCTCCAGTGACTAACTCTTGTTCTGTTCACTCAGGTCCCATTGAACAGCTCTTGGATTACAACCGTATCCGCAGTGCCATGTACTGGATCCGTTTCTAGGATGTGTCCCTGCAGGTTGGAGATAGTGAAGCTGTGGACTGTGACAGGTTCCCTCTGGCTAAATGTCTTGTGCACCAGGGGCAAGATGAGTCCCATCAAAATGGCTGTCGTCTTGGTGTTAAATGTATAAAAATAAATATATCCTATATGGAGTTGGTCTTGTTGGGAGTCGACCATGTCTTGCTGGGTCACGTATGTAGATGTCATTAATCTTGCCAAATTGGTGAGGTATTGGACCAATCAGTCTTGGTTTGTCAGGGCTCATGCTAGAAACTTCTCTGTGTGTCTTTCTTCAGCCTCGCCTCCTCTGTCCTGAGCTGGCGGTGTCCTGGTTCGGGGGTCTTGTCTTTAGGCTGGTTGGAGGAAGTCTTCCCACTGGTATGAGGCTGCCAGGGCAGCCCTGGCTGTTTCCACCATGTCTTTCTGTGCAGGCAGCAGCGTGGTCAAACTCACGCTGTAGCAGCGGAGTTTGTGCAGACCTAAGAAGGAAGGGCCCTCGTCTGAGGGAGCTCTGTGCGCTCCTGCTCATCAAGGAGATCAGAACGAATCTGTGGAAAGGCGGTCCTCTTCCTGTGCCCAGGGTGTTAGTGTTTCTGGCCTGGCTGTTTGTGACCCTCTTGTTGGAGTAGTGGCCTCTGCGCGAGGGTGGTCAGTGCAAATCCCTCTCCTTAATCAGTTATACAGTTACAGACAAAAGTGGTCAGCGGAGTTCCCACCATCTGTTGAAGTTGGTGAAGGTGATCGGCCTGGCCTTATCTGGTGCTGCGTTGCTACGACTGAGGCGGTTCTCTCTAGCAGAGTTGGGATAGTGTGAGGAGCTGGAGCTGTTGCTAGACAAACACTTTACCAGAGCCTGTACTGGGGATATGGTGCCTCCCACCTTAAGCTTGCCGGTTAGCTGTAAGCCAGCTCAGTAATGAGCAGAGATCGTTGTGGAATATGTTGGTGTTGGTCTACACATTCCTGTTGTAGATGAGCCTCCCGCTATCCAGTCAGTCTCACCTATGCAATAGCTGAGAAGCTGCTGACTGTAGTACAGGGTGACCTGGCCGATACCTGGAAGATCCCAGGTCTGAACAGTTGAAGGAGCTAGTCAGCCCTTTCAGCTTTGTCTGGTGTTAATCTGGTTGTTGCTCCCTTGTCTTGCCTCTGGGAAGCTGTAACATGGAACAGAAAGGTTGACACTGAGCAAGGGGGATGGAGAAAAGCTTCCCACCAGGTGGCACTAGCCTGTCACAGCTACCCTGGGAAGCTGCGAGGTACTCCTGTTTAATTTGTGTCTTTGGGATAGATCTCTCTGGGATTCTCATTTAATTTCCAGGTGCTGCCCTGACAAGTGGGATTTAAAAATAGTGTAAAAGTTTCTAGGAGTTAGTCATTACACTTGAGACTAATCCAGTTTACTTAATCATTTGTGCTGAATCTGGATTCTTGATGAGAGAGTCAGTGTGTCTGAACTCATTGCGTATACTAGGCAAGTTTGAAACTGTTAAATGTTCTTGATGCAATTGGGGTTTAACTATCGTCACAAGCTCTGGCTCGTTACAAGTGCACTGAGGGCTGAAAAACTAAACAAGCTCACGCCTCGAGCCTTGTGGAACCAGTAAATGTTTCTGTCTTGGTTTTGTGACTGCAGTCAGACTGTAATCCTCTTTTGTATTCCATTGCTATATTCCCCCCCCGCAGGTGAGGTTCCAGGGTGTTTTGCAGTTGGTAGGAAATACAAAGAAAAGGAGATGTACATCCTTGCTTTAGCATTTCCTACAAGTTTTCTTCTCTGGAGGTAGCTGCTTGGGAACAGTTGTTATCCTTGAGTGGTTCCCCAGCCCCTCCTGTACTGCTTTGTACAAGGAAGAGATTCAAATGCCTCTGCGACTGTTGCTTTCCAAACGACTCCGTTTCTGTGCAGAAGTGGCAGGCTGGCTGCACTGAGCAGCGTGCTCCCAGCACTTCAGCGGGGACTAACAGCTGTTCCCTCCTCCTGCCCAAGAGGCTGCAGCTCTGCAAGGCTGACTGGCTTATGCACCGTTGGAAGGTGTTTTGCAGATGCTTTTATCCATGTAGAAATCTGACTACCTGGGCTGATCTGGACCAGGAACGGTGCCCTGGTGAGCAGCACTGGGTGCAGAGTGCTGTTGGGTGCCCACTAGCAGCTGGGAGTCAAGGCTGAGCTGTGCCCAGGATGTTGGCGTCTTCTGACTGCAGTTCTGATGGCACTGTGCCTTGTAGTGCCTGTTGTGTTTGGGTGCTGTGGCGCTCCATGCTTCCAGAAACAGGCATCTCGCCGGCTCTAAGGGTTGAGAGGATTGCGATACCATTTTCCCTTGGTGAACAACCTTTCTGAGCAGCCAGACTGGGCACCTAAAATGTGAGGAGGGGAAACCCCTTCAGGAGTTGAGAGCCGTAGTGAGGGGCTTGGGAAGCGTAGCCTGGAATTAGTGCAGAGTCATCAAGCATTTGGCAGCTGAAGCTCCAATCTCGCTGGCTGGTCTCTTGGTGCTAGAGCTGCAGCGGTGTGTTTCTGTTCCTCCACTGGATCATCCTCAGTCCAAGGGAATCCAAACTGGGAAATGACTGGCATGTCGGAAGTGTCCTGCCTCAGTGCTTTTCCTGAACCTTGACAAAGTGAGATCTTTCGCTGGACCTCTCCCCTCCCCTTCCTGCGGTTTCTGCTGCCCGGTGAAGGACAGTGGCAGTGCCAGAGGAGGGAGTTGGAACCATCCTGAGAACAGGGCAATTTCACTGAAACTGGAGATGGCCTGGGTGACCTAATAAATCTGTTTCCTGGCTCCCTGGACAATGCGGGATTGTTCAGTGGGGCTCTTTGACCACTCTGGTTTTCAATGGCTTAAGTGTTTTATTTTGCTACTTCACTTGGAAGGTTACTTGGGTTCTCATTAGACGGTGCTGATAAACTTCGTCTGGTGTGTGAACTGGCCTTTGCTCCCTCCCCTTCTGCACGATGCTGTCTTATCCTCTCCTGCTAAGGTTCCCTCTTTGAAGCTCGCGCCCTGCACCTACCTCTAGGCAGTTGCTTTCCCTCCCTGACACCTTGGCGCTCTGTCTCTTGGCTGGAAGAGAGAAGGATTTGGAAAGGAGAATGCTGTGCATCATTGCGTGCACCCTATCCAAGGCTCTGTAACGCCACCCGCACAGCGCTTCAGTGACTTTTTTCCACCATACAGATCTATTCTGGGTACATAAAATCTAGCAGGGAAAACAGGGAGCGCTTGCTAGAGACCTGTGCTGAGCGCTGCAGGTTTTCCTGGTCTCCAGCAGGAAAAGCTGCTGGTACCCACAGCGTGGGGCTGCGGGGCCGGGGCAGATGTGCGGGGTGGATCTGCTTGTGGAGCAGGCAGCCCCTTTGATATGTGAGCTGCTTGTTTGGGATTCAGGCACTTGCCAAGAGAGGGGCCACAGCAGCCAACTGTCAGTAGTTGCCTCACCTGAACTAATTACCCCCCCTGGAAAGTACAGTTGATACTAATCATAGGTGCTGAGCCAAGCCTGTCCTCGGGGAAGCGGGGAGCTGCAGAGAGGCTTTCACAGAACTGGGAGGGTTGGAGCCGTGCCGCTCCTTGGTGCCAGAGAGTGTTTGGGAGGAGAGCCCGCAGCCCTCCGGGCCTGCTTCTCTACCCGCTCTCCCGCCGAGGCTGGTGAATCCTGTGGCTGGAGTCTCACGCTGCTTGGCGCCCTTGGTGCAGGGGTTGCCTGAGGCATCAGTGTGGCTGTGACCAGGGCTCTTTTCCCCCGGCCAGCCCCTGTATAGTGTGGTTTGCTCAGGGGAGGGCTGAGTTCTCCCTGTGGTGAAGTGTGGCCCAGCAGGGCTGCAGGATTGCTAGGGTGAGAGGGGTACCCGATGCGTGGCAGACTCACCGGCTTGCCCTGCCCAGGCCTCCTGCACCGCACCTTTCCCTTCTGCGTACCACCAGGACTTTGTACGCCAGGAGAGAGGAGTGGTGAGCAGCAGTGTCTGGATGCCTATCCAGAAATCCCGCTTCCTACTTGGAAACGGCTCGTGTAGCGCTTGCGCGTGTTCATTGCCCATTCATTTGGTGTTCATTTGGTGGACAAAGGGCCCATCCAGGCCTGACTGCCAGCTACAGCCATCCCGGGCTGCAGTGAGGCACGAGGCCGAGCGGGGCACGGCGGCAGGGTTTGGCTTCATTGTCTCAGCTCTTTCTTCAGCGGCGTGTCTGGAAGGGGGCGATTGAGCCCTGAGCACCCTCATTAAAAGCTGCTTTACCCCACACGCCATCAAAAGAGGATCAGTAGTTCTCAGTTTTCCATGCAAGTCTCTTCTTTGCAGCTCTTTCCCGTTGCGTGTTTTCCTTCCTCAGGGCTCAACTGGGGCTGCTGGCCTGAGGTTTGGCTTTGCTGGCCCTAGAGCCAATTGCTGAGGATGCCCAGAAAAGCTTCTAGAAGTATGGTGCCTGGAGGAGGATCTGCCCAGGTTCCTCACCTGGGCGTGGGAAATGAATCTGCTGGCCCAGCACTACGCTACTGGGGGAGGTCCCAGCACTGGTCAGTGAGGGCAGGAAGGGTATTTTTGTACAGAGAGGTGTTGGTGGGAGTAGTACCTGTGCTGGATCACTCGCCAGGTGCTCTGGAGACACTGCTCCTGCCCGGTGTCCCACCGTCTGTCGCTGAGCCTCCACTGTGCTCTGGGGTTGTTCAAGGCTCTGTGCGCTGCCTTGGTGTGAGAGCTGTGCAGCACAGACAGCTCGAGGACAGCGAGGGAAGCTGGATTGAATGCCACAGGGCCCGATTTGAGCGAGGCTAATTATGTAATTAAGATATTGAAACCGGGCGCTAAATATCTGAGTGCTTTTCCTAGTTTTGCCAAGAGCCTGCAGTGGTGCGTAGAACATCTGGCTTTCCTGGTGCGCTGCCGCGGATGCGGGTACTGACGCTCAGCGCTGTGCGCAGAGTAGAGCGGCTCCGCGTGCGCGGCGGCGCGGGTGTGCCCAGCGTTGTCTGGAAGAGCCCCAGCTCTGTGCATGGTTTCCTCCTTTGCGTGTAACATGGACAAAGCTGTAGAAGAAACGTCGCTTCCGTTTTATTTGTTATGCTTAGGGAAGAGTGAGCTGACTCTTGGCGGGGGGGCAGTTTTTCTACCTTATTGGAATGTTTAGGGAACTAAAGTTGTATTGCTTTGAGATTTAGGATTTGGTGTATGTTCAGCTTCAGAGAACTCTATTCCGAGCTTCTCTGGGTACAGTT